CACGGATGTAGAAGCACGGAGCACTTCTTTAGTGATTGTCCGATGAAACGGCGATGCCCATGGTGTGCACACGGATTGCAAAAATGTTTCGAGGTTGAAAGGGATACCGATAACAAAGGTCGATTGTTCAAAACGTGCAGTAGAAATTGTGGTTATTTTGATTGGGTTCGAAATGAAGAATCAAGCGGGGAATCAAGTGTCACGACTGAAGTGGTTGATCCGACGGAAATCGATGAAGTTGAAGATTTGCCGAAAATGTTCGACCAACTAGCTCGAATAGCCGAAAGACGAGGCGTCGAGATCTCTTTGAACATCACATTTCGCAAGGAGAAAGGAAGTGTGGATGTTAATGGAAAAGGCAAGGGGAAAGCTTGACGTGGATTCAACTAAGCTTGATTATGTCTTTTGTTTTGGTGTTTGAATTCTGTTGAAGTTATTTTGTCAATGAATTCCGTTGATGGTGTAATGAATTGATGTTTTGATGGTGTTTTGTCAACGAATTCAATTTGATCATTATTCGACTATAGTAGCTCAAGATTGCTGAAGACGGATCTTAGCATCCAAAGTATAATTCAATTTTGGAAAAAGCTATTATAATCACCCTTCTTATCAAGCAAAATTTGAATCAAGTTGTATGTATTAAATTAAAATCTTTAGCTTGAAGGCAACTGCTTTACTGAATGATAAAGAAAATCAATGATGCCTGTTAAATATTATCTTTTGATTTGGCATCCGTTTTGACCATAAACAGGGGAGGACTCCAGGAAGTAGAAAAAGTAGGGAGAAAATTCAAAAGCTCAATTATCCGAATAATTACTTCAAAACCCCAGTTAATACCTGCACAAAGATTGCTATGATTCCCAACTACATGTATACTGCAATCACAAACGAAAACAAATCTGAATATCCTTAGGCACAAAGAAGAGTTATGCGTGGTACAACACACTTGACGCATTGAGAATTTTACTAATTCATTGAATTACTCCAAATCATTACATCTCAAATTTTGTGGATCCACTGGAAGCAAATAACTAAATCCAAGCCAACTGGAGTTAAGCTCTAAATTCAGTTACTAGATCTAATACCTCTAAGCCCTTTTACCCGTAATCCTCCTGGCCAACTGAAGTGAAGCTCCGTCGTTAGTCTTGAGATCCAAGTTCCCAATGACATCGAGTCAAGCACTACCCAAACGGCCCTCCGCAAGATGCATACCGCTTATGACATTTCTGTAAAGGACACTGCATTTTTTCAAAAAGGCAGTCTGAAAAGAAAAATAATGCTAGGAATATAAATTAATATCAAGGAAAAGAACATATAGGAAGGTCATTTCATATGCAAGCATTATCACGATAAAAAAAGGTCTACATAATCCTACTTCATAAAATGCAACATCATTTACACATGACCTCTTCTAATCTTTAACTGTAAAATAAGCGGCATCCCTTCAAATATCATGAAATCCATTGCCATCAATGAAGGAACGGTTGTCCTACAAAATGAAATACCGTTACATATCACAATTTTCAAACACATAAACTTGTATAGGAAATGCTAATTCACCTGACCACCATGTTGTGAATATGACAATGGCGTAGGCTGCGAGTATTGAATTTCTTGACTGTATTGGACGACGGGTGCATTCTCTTCAACATGAGTACGTGTAGCTCGCGATCTCTTTGGCTTGCTTGAACCGGTCGTTCCCTGCGTACCAATATAAATGAAAAGTCTTACTAAATATAAATGTTGATGCTTTTCAAGTACAAGCAAAGTACCTTTCTTTTATTCGAACTGGATTCCAATGGACCTTTTCTTCGAAGTTTTCGTGGCGCACCCTTTCTATTAGACGACACGGGATCCAATATCATGAACTCCTGAGTATTCTGTGAAATTGAACATTGAGTCGGCTCCGAAGGGACATTACTACCACCACTTGAATTCGAAGTCCTCAGTTCTATTGCTTTCGCTTTTATCCAGTCCATTATCATACGTGAACCCCCTTCATCCGGTGCCGCGAGGTCTGCCACCTCCGAGAAATGCATACACATTTCATCGTAACGCAACTGTTCAGGTGTACTAACCAACCCATCATAATTTACTGCGACTCTTGTGTGAGCTCTGCTGATGTCTCTCCTCCAACGACGCAATATATACCTCTCTGGCATCGATGTAACGTCGTTACGGTCTAGAATTGTGATCGCATGCCTGCAAATAATTCCACGAAATTCAAACAGGTGGCAGCTACAAGTAATCTCTAAAGTGTCGCCACGAAAGGATACAAAAAATGTTCTCTTCTTCCGACCCCCGAGATGTACGACAGACTCTGTAACGGTGTAATTCAGCCCGAGCGAACTCTCTTCGGATGAAATGACGTCGCAATAAACCTTCTAACGGTGTAATTCAGCCCGAGCAAACTCGCTTCGGATGAAATGACGTCGCAATAAACCTTTCCTGTGAACTCAGCCTGAACTTCTTTGAACTTTGAAATTGTGTAAACCGACTGAAATTGCTTTTCCATTTCGAACGTAGTTGCGCACGGAACCATCTGCGAGAAAGATTTGAAATCGGCCTGAAACTCTTTTTCAACCTTATTCCTCAATGCTCTTTCGTACTGTTCGACAAACTGCTTCAACGAAGTTTTCGAATGGACATAGCCATCAAAAAAAGCATTCATACTCTCACTCCGTTGCGTTGTCGACATGCCTGCCCAAAAAGTAGTCTTCAAATAACACGGAACCCAACGCCCTCTGTTCTGATAAAGGCCCGACAACCAAGCATTATCATGCAACTCATAGTTATTGATCATAGCTATCCAACCTTCTTCGAATTCATCAATAGTTTGGGAATCATACACTACATTGTGTATAGCAGAGAAAATCAAACTTCTATGAGTGTGGTAGCCAAACTTTTCTGGTAATTTTTTCATAATGTGCCACAAACACCATCTATGTTTAGTATTCGGAAAAACAATAGCTATTGCATTCTGCATGGCCCTATCTTGATCAGTAATTATGCCCTGAGGGGGTTGATCATGCATACACTGCAACCACGTCTGAAAAAGCCACACAAACGTATCTGTATCCTCATTCGACAACAAACCGCATCCAAGAAGCATTGATTGTCCGTGATGATTTACGCCAACAAAAGGGGCAAAAGGCATATCGTACTTATTCGTGAGATACGTCGTATCAAATGTAACGACATCGCCGAACTCTTTGTACGCTTGCCTACATCTATTATCTGCCCAAAATATGTTCTTAAGTCGTAACTCGTCGTCTACATCCATACTGAAGTAAAATCCTGAACACCGTGCTTGCATTTTTGAAAAGTACGACTGTAATGCTGCGGCATCTCCTTGTCCAAATCGTAATCGTCTCACTTGTTCGATATAGTTGCGACAATCTCTTTCCACAAAAGTCATATTCTCGTACCCACCTGCTTCGACAACTGCAGAGTTGAAACTTTTGTGCAACGGAATCCCTGCCATGTCATTCAACTCGAGCTTTCGTTTCACATTTGCAGTCAATTCTCGATTGCATCGATACAACCTTGACTTCGAAGGGCTTACCTTATGATTGTGCTCGAGATGGACACTGTTAATTCTCCATGTTCCCTTATCGTCTGACGATGCAGTTATCCTCGCTCTACAATCCGTCTGACTTGTTGGTTGCGGCTTCAAAGATGTGCTTGTATTAATTAAGTTTCGGCCTTCACGACTACAAGTGAATGTTACATATCTGACAACTCCATCATCCCCCTTCTTAGAATTCCTTTTTCGCACCGGAAAACCTACGGTGTAAGCATATCTCTTATAAAAATCAAACACCGTTTTTTCATCCTCGAACGTCATACCCACCTCCGGCACTTTCTCTCCATCTTCTCCTAACGTGTCGTCCTCCACACTATTCATATTGTCCGCAATTATCACACAATCGGGTTGCAGTAAAGGATCTCCATTCATGTCGTCCATAGTATCGTGTCCTACAGCAAATCATGGAGCAAAATGTTCAGCTTCAAAACAAGCATTCATTTATTTTCAGTTTTGAAGCCTCAAACAATCAGTTCATCTGTAAACAATCAGTTCAATATTTACTAATTACTTCCCTAAACCACCATAATTTGTTTACTTTTTCCCTATATATCACCATTTTTGCTGACCATATAAGAAAATCTTCACATTTCGTTTTGCCTACTTAAATACGAATGAAACTCTTCAATGGTAAGCACATTACCGTTTTCAGCCATGTAACAAAATGAGTTCTGAATCTAGCTCCAATACCCGAAGCTCCTGATTTAGCTTCTCACGGTCTCAGCTGGGTAAAAAGCTTCGGATCCGGCTTCGCACGGTCTCAGCGGGTAACAAAATCAGTTCTGAATTCAGCTGCGGGTAACGAAGCTCCTGATTTAGCTGCCCATGGTCTCAGCTGGGTAACCAAGCTCCGGATTCGGCTCCTGATTTAGCTTTTCACGGTCTCATCTGAGTTCGATTTTCACGATTGCGGGTAACGAAGCTCGGGCTTCACACGGTCGACTGTGGGTAACTTTCGATTGGATCAAATGGGAAAGACCAGCATCATCTGCACCGCCGTCGAGCTGAGCATAGCGGGAAGGAGAAGGTCTATCCCTCTAAAGAAATTTACGCCCTATTTTTGAAGAGAGAAAGTGGGTTCTCTCTCTTTTCTCCGGCTTTTCTCCCGGTCCGACCGCTTTTTTAAATTTCCTGTAATCCTTCTGTGAAACAGTACCCTGTAAATGTAGCTTTTCTGGATAAATAAAGGGGAAGGTATTTTTGACCTTTCAGTTTTTTGGACACGGTATGTCCTTCAGTCATTTATCGTAACGGCTTTTGCTGTACACCGTTATCCAAGGAACAGTCGTGGCATTTAGGAATATTTGAATCCAAATAAGGCAAAATTATGAGATACGAAACAAAAAATCAAAAGATTTTTGCGACCCTTCGTCGTTAACATCATTATTTGCGCCACAAAAGCATGAGAAGAGGATTTTCTTCAAGTTAAATAGATTCTCTTGCATGCTTTTTAAATTAATAAGGTTCAGATCCATCTTCTTCTATCTAAAGAGGAGATTCGCGTGATTCAATGGTTTTCGTCACTCAAAAAAGTTTGTAAAAGATATTAAATAATTGTTGACCACCAAAATTTGATTGATCATGCCGTAAATATTTTGTCACCTTCCCATCTATAAATTACCTACACTACCATGGCCTCCATGAGGATGAAAGTTGACCGTGGTTCTTATTTTTCATACTTTTTGGACACTTGTTAATTATCGATATTAAAACTTGATCCAGTTTGATTCTATTTTCTTTTTGACAGTTTTTACACATGCAACAATGGCGCCCTTGCCATGTGGCATTTAGGAATCTTCGAATGTCCCATGCTCCTCCAAATAAGGTATCTGGAAAGAATACGGAGATACAAGATTCTTGCTTTATTGTTGGGGAAATTCTATGTCCCTTTGTCGTAACCGCCATTCTTGGCATTGTTGGGGATATAAGAGGATGTTTTTTGAGTTAAACATATTCCTTTGCTTTGTCTCTTTAGATTTTATGAGGTTCGGAACCATCCACTTTTATCTAGCCAGGAGGTTCACTAGAGTGCTAATCACCTCAGTGTTTCGTAGATAATATATGGGCAAGGCTGCGAATTCTAACAAAGTTACTTAAATCAAGGTAAAGCTCTCATTTGCCTTGATGTAGCTCGTTGATTTTGGCAATGCACTTATGGTTGGTGCAAAGCTCTAGTGTGGTAGATGCATTCCATGTGGCACCACAATTCTATGCGGTCCACATGAAAAAGACCACATGTGGCGAAGTAGTAACAGTTGTTACCTAAATTCGAGCATAACATTCATGCTAAGTTCTTAATTTTGCTGTATGGTTTGTTCAATGATGCATTTGGTGGGGCATTGCACTGAGCGAACCTAGTTTACTTGCGCATCATTGATGATGTTTTCTAATTCAAACGACGAAATAGTAACGGTAATCAATCTTGATATATTAATATTTTTCAATTTTGCAATACCAATTAAAATGAAAACAATAACAAATCAAACCTTATAATGGAAGTTTTTTCTGGAGATCGTATGTTCCAATATAAGATGAAGAAACGAAAAACATGATTATTGACATGGAAAGAAGAACATGATTATCGTTGTAAAACATCGATAGACCAAATCCTTTCAAGTGATAGATCTTTTAGGCGATGGTCGAATTTATAAAGTCATTTTTTCAATTTTTTTTGTAACATATATTGGTTCGAATGATATTGCACATGTTTATGAAAGAGAAAATGTGACAATATATTGAAAAAGTCAATTCTGAGTTGGAGTTCTATGGTCATACGGATCGACTGCCTGCATTGTGTCTTTTTGTAAAAGTTCGAATATACTTTCTCACAGTGTATTATGCATGATATTTTACAATTACATTATTTACGACGACACCCTTAATCTCCAGTAAAATGGTAATTGTAATTTATGAGTTATTAATAAACTGTAATTTTAGTTTGCCGTCACCTTCTCTTAAATTCTCAAAAGCCCAATGATTTTTAAAAAAAATAGGCTTCTCCCATTTGTATAGAAGAAGAAGCAACAGAAATTGATCAGAATGGACTAAAACAATGGGCCCCACAGTATATTTAAATATTGCAAAAAATGACGGGCCTCTCCTACTTGTGTGTGGTCTAGTGTGTTTATGTGGTGTACAGATTTCTGTACACCCAACGGAATCCAAAAAAATAATTGCTAATTTGATACTGTGAACTGTATAATAAAATAAAATAAATTAAAATCTTAAATATTCCCTGAAATATTGATTTTCTCTTTAAAATCAAACAGGAAAAATCAGTACAGTGAGTTGTGTCAATAATGAAAATAATTAATACAAAAATGCTACTTGTACATTACAAATTGTACATAAGGGGCTACACCCCTCTCACATGGGGTGTGGGACCCATAACATAAATTATTTTTTAATCTAAGCGGATCCTATCCTCATGTGAGGGGGTGTACACTCCGATGTACAATGTGATGTACAAGTAGCTAGACCGTAATTAATATTTGGTAGCCACCAAATGTAAAATACCAAAAATAGCCGGATAGTCCAAGAAAGTGACTTTTCAGTCCCTGGGGTCCAATATACAAAGGCAAACCAAGAAACACGCCGCTCCTAACGCCAACCTCATCCTCCTTGTTCTTCTCGCTTCATAAAAAATTTTTTCTCTGTTCCGTCCTTTCACCCCTAAATCAATGGCCCTTCAACTGTGGGATACCTTCAAAGAATCAATCACAGCATACACAGGTCTCTCTCCAGCTACTTTCTTTACAGTTCTTGCTCTAGGCCTTGCTGTGTACTATACGCTGTCCAGTTTATTTGGGTCGTCTGATGATAGCCATCCCAGGTCAAGAGGGGTCGAAGAGCAGATGGAGCCAATTCCACCTCCTGTTCAGCTTGGTGAAATCAATGATGAAGAGTTGAAACAGTATGATGGGTCTGATCCGAAAAAACCTTTGCTCATGGCTATCAAGGGTCAGATCTACGATGTTTCGCAGAGCAGGTATATTTTCTCAATCTTTGTGAATTTTTTGTGTGTTCTGATTTCTGGGTTGGTGTTCTTTTGAATTTTGATTAGGTGTATGTGATGACTTCTGATGTTTTGGGCCTTTTGGATTAAGGCCTAAGTGTCAAGATTTTGATAGTCGATTTTGGTGCTATGAACTGCTGCGTAGAATTTGCAAGTTTTGTCTTAATTTTCGTGATTTATGAAAGCTCTTGTTTATAGAACTCAGGCAGTTTAAGGGCACACGATTGATGGAGATTTCTGATTTTCGGAATCTGGCCTCCCTGATCACTAAATCTGGCTTTCATTTTTGCTTTATTCCATTTATTTTTTTTTTTACTTTTTTATTCTTTCTTATACTTGGATTCAGTAATTTACTTCGAATTTTCAAATTCACTTTGTGATATTTGTTTTCTGTTTCCAGAAATACAACTAACAAGTTCTCAGTTTGCTAATATGGATGAAATTCATTGCTTATAATAAATATCCAGAACTTCTTAACTTTTGCCAGTTTCTGCCGACCAATTGGAGCTTAAACTATGCGATGATTATATTTGATATGTCTTTTCTTTTATTCATTTAAAACACATACATATAACTGCCAAATAATGTAATTATTTAGATTCGACTCTACTGGTAACACATAATGGCAGTGCTCTTCTTTTTAATGAAGTTATTTTTGTAAAGCCAATTCCTTGCAGCCAAGTAATTCCATTAAAGCATTATCTTGTTGTCTTTGAACGATGAAATAGGCTGTGTTTCTGGGTTGCTGAACCCAGAAACGTTCTTTCTTCCCCTTCTTGCCCCCTGCTCCTTGCCCACAACTTGGGTGATTCACACGTTGATGGAGGACCTAATTCAAAACTGGATATGGGTATTCAGCAATACCGCGATCCACACCTTGTGTGATATGAACTCGAGACTTCTCATTTCTTCACCACTAGATCAAGGCCTACTTCCCAACTAAGAAATTGGCTAATCGCCTTTCAGTATTTATCGACCTTTTACTCTTTTATCTTATGATAACAAGCTATTTCTTCAAACTTCACTTTTTGTTGAGACCTGGATATTTATTCTGTGTATTTGTTTTGATAAAATGATGCGAGAAAATATCTAGTATAAAATGAGCCTCTGCGTGGTGTGACAACCTTATCTGTTGCTGACTCTTCTTATGCCGCACTTACGCCTATGGAAGTAGCTCTTCAATGATCATTGACATCATATTGTAATTTATTGTTTTCCTTCCAAGATTCTTGTAATTCTTTTGTTAACCACCACATCACAATGTACCATTGTTGTAAGATTAGCTATCCTTTGCAATTCTGGCTTGAATATCCAAAAAATGAGATGGGATTTTCCGCAAGTTGGTTGTCTTTGAACTTGAAATGATTGGGGTTAAGTGTAGAACCTCCTAAAAGCAAGTTATATTTTCTATGTAACAGATTTATGTGACATTTGCTAAAAATACACTTGTCTGTTGTCTGCAGGATGTTCTATGGACCGGGTGGACCTTATGCCTTGTTTGCAGGAAAGGATGCTAGTCGAGCTCTTGCAAAAATGTCTTTTGAAGATAAAGATCTTAATGGTGATCTCACTGGCCTAGGTGCATTTGAGCTCGAGGCCTTACAAGATTGGGAATACAAGTTTATGAGCAAATATTTCAAGGTTGGAACTGTCAAAAGTTCAGTGCCCGTGAGCGATGGAGCAACTGAAGGTCAAACAGCAGAAGCAACTGAAGGTCAAACAGCAGAGGCAACTGAAGCTGACGCTGCTAAGCCTGCAGAAGATGGTCCATCAGCAAGTGTTGAGAAGGAAACTGTGGAAACTGCTGCGCCTGCTGATGATGCTGACAAGAAAGAATGAGTTCTCATTGAATACCAAACTGGGGAGAACGGTGCACCATTTTTCATGGAATCTATTTCATACAAGTGTCTAACTTTAGTGTAAGACTCTGGTACTCCTTATGTAATGAACTCGATATAATAGCCTCTTTTTCGTATTAAATAATGACTGAGGCTTATTAAATCTGTATCTGTACTAGTTGTTTGCATATTATGCGCGCAATTCCACCACCGTCACCTTCTCCCTGTGGGACGTGTATTGATGGAGGAGTACATGGCCATGTTTTCAGAGTTAAAACGAATCGTACATGGCCATGTTTTCAGAGTTAAAACGAATCGTTTCGCTTTGGGACGTGTATTGATGGAGGAGTTCATGGCCTTGTTTTCAGAGTTAAAACGAATCGTTTTAAGTTCATTGCCTGTTCAATAGAGTTTGTTGAATCTCTTGAATTCATTGTTGGTTATTAGAGCTGCTGAATTTAAGTTCCATTTGGATCCTAAATTCCTAATAAAGGGAAAATCAGTGTTGAGGGGTGCAAAGAGATTGTATTTCCTTTTGCACTTTTCAAATTAACGACTTAGTTTTGTGTAAAAAGGGCCTTTTGAAACACCCCCCCCCCCCCCCCCCCCCCCCAAAAAAAAAAAAAAAAAAAAAAAAAAAAAAAAA